CTAGATCTTTGCCATTCTGTTCTTTAATCATTTCTCATGTTTTTGGTGTTCTTTTGGTATCATTTCCCTTCTGTGCAATGACTTTTCTTCATCTGTAAATGTTTTTCTTTCATTTTTTTAAGGATATTTTCACAGGATGTAGAATTCTGGGCTGACAAATACTTTCTTATAGCACTTTAAAAATGATGTGCTACTTCCTTCAGTTCTCCATAGTTTCTTATGAGAAACCTGCTCTCATTCAAATTATTATTTCCCTGCAGGTAATGCCTCTGATTGTTTTCAAGATTTTGCCTTGCCTTGCCTTTATTTTTCAGCAGTTTGATTATGATGTTGTCCAAGAATTTCTAAGAGCAGAAACAAAGTTAAAGTAATGCTAGAGGTTTATTAGTCAATCATATAATGCGCAAATTGGGCAACACACAGCATAAAGTGAGTGTTCCACAGAAATGGAGCAATATAGGGGTTTTTATAGTCCAAGGAATGAAGAAAAGTTGGGGAAGTTAAGGGGGTTTCCATCAGTCTTTCAGGTATTTGTGAAAATGTCCCTTGAAGCCCTTTCTTCTTTAGAAATGTCAGTTTTACTAAGAAGACAGATGACGCAGGTCTCCAGGAGGTCAGTGCCTGCTGACACAGGTTTCCAGACGGACGGGCACCTGTTGCAGCGGTACATTGACAGGGAACTGCCAGAAATTCAAGCCGGATTCAGAAGAGGACTTGGAACGAGGGATATCATTGCTGATATCAGATGGATCTTGGCTGAAAGCAGAGAATACCAGAAAGATGCTTACTTGTGTTTTATTAACTATGCAAAGACATTTGACTGTGTGGATCATAACAAATTATGGATAACATTGCGAGAGATAGAAATTCCAGAACACTTAATTTTGCTCACGTAGAACCTATATGTAGAGCAAGAGGCAGTCGTTTGAATAGAACAAGGGATACTGCATGGTTTAAAATCAGGAAAGATGTGTGTCAGGGTTGTATCCTTTCACCCTACTTATTCAGTCTATAATCTGAGAAGCTGGACTGTACGAAGAAGAACGGGGCATCAGGATTGAAGGAAGACTCATTAACAGCTTTCAATATGAGGTTGACACAACCTTCCTTGCTGAAAGTGAAGAGGACTTGAAGCACTTACTCATGAAGATCAAGGACTATAGCCCTCAGTATGGATTGCACTTCAACATAAAGAAAACAAAAATCCTCACAACTGGACCAGTAAGCAACAACATCATGATAAACAGAGAAAATATTGAGGTTGTCAAGGATTTATAATCAACACTGAGGCATTTTCAGTTGCCTCGTATGCATGTGAAAGCTGGACAATGAATAAGGAAGACTGAAAAGTAATTGATGCCTTTGAATTATGGTGTTGGAAAAGAATATTGAATATACCATGGGCTGCCAGAAGAACAAACAAATCTGTCTTGGAAGAAGTACAGCCAGAAAACTCATTAGAAGCAAGGGTGACAAGACTTTGTCTCACATGCTTTGGACATGTTATCAGGAGGGACCAGTCTCTGGAGAACATCATGCTTGGTAAAATAGAGGGTCAGCGAAAAAGAGGTGGATCCTCAATGAGATGGATTGACACAGTGGCTGCAATGATGGTCTCAAGCATAACAATGATTTTGAGTGTTGTGGGTTGAATTGTGCCCCCCTAAAATGTGTTTCAACTTGGCCAGGCCATGATTCCCAATATTATGTGATTGTCCACCATTTTGTCATCTGATGTGATTTTCTTATGTGTTGTAAATCCTACCTCTATGATGTTAACGAGGCAGGATTAGACGCAGTTATGTTAATGAGGCAAGACTCAGTCTATGAGATTAGGTTGAGTCTTAAGTCAATCTCTTTTGAGATATAAAAGAGAAAAGCAAGCAGAGAGACAAGGGAGTCTTATACCACCAAAAAGACAGTGCTGGGAGCAGAGTACGTGCTTTGGACCCAGGGTCCCTGTACCTGAGAAGCTCCTAGACCAGGGGAAGATTGATGACAAGGACCTTCCACCAGAGCTGACAGAGAGAGAAAGCCTTCCCCTGGAGCTGGTGCCCTGAATTTGGACTTCCAGCCTACCAGACTGTGAGAGAATAAATTTCTCTTTGTTAAAGCCATCCACTTGTGGTATTTCTGTTATTGCAGCACTTGATAACTAAGACAGTAAGGATGGCACAGGACCAGGCAGTGTTTCATTCTCTTGTACGTAGGGTCACTATGAGTTGGAATCAACTCGACGGCACCTAACAACAACAGCATGGTCACCATTTGGAAGCAGCAGTCAAGAAATCAAATGATATATTGCACCTGGCAAGTCTTTAAAAAACAAAGATATCACTTTGAGGGCTAAGGTGCGCCTGACCCAAGCCATGGTATTTTCAGTTGCCTCATATGCGTGTGAAGGCTGGACAGTGAATAAGGAAGAATGAAGAAGAATTGATGCTTTTGAATTATGGTGTTGGTGAAGACTATTGAATATACCATGGACTTCCAGAAGAATGAACAAATCTGTCTTGGAAGAAGTACAGCCAGAATGCTCCTTAGAATTGAGGATGGCAAAACTACATCTCACATACTTTGGACATGTTATCAGGAGAGACCAGTCCCTGGAGAAAGATGTCAAGCTTGGTAAAGTAGAGAGTCATCAAAAAAAGGAAGATGAGATGGATTGACACAGTGGCTGCAACAGTGGGCTCAAACATAGCAATGGTTGTGAGGATGGTACAGGACTGGGCAGTGTTTTGTTCTTTTGTTCATGGGAGTTGCTGTTATGGATTGAATTGTGTTGCCTAAAAATGCGTATCACCTTGGCTAAGCTGTGATTCCCAGTATTGTGTGGTTGTCCACCGTTTTGTGATCTGATGTGATTACACTATGTGTTGTAAATCCTAACCTCTATGATAATGAGGCTGGATTAGAGGCAGTTATGTTAATGAGGCAGGGCACAATCTACGGGTTTCGATTGTATCTTGAGTCAATCTCTTGAGATATAAAAGAGAAAACTGAGCAGAGAGGATAGGGAACTCTTTACCACCAAGCAAGAAGAGCCGGGAGAAAGCATGTCCTTTGGACCCGGGGTCCCTGCGCCTGAGGATCTCCTGGGCCAGGGGAAGATCGATTACAAGGACCGTCCCCCAGAGCCGACAGAGAGAGAAAGCCTTCCCCTGGAGTTGGTGCCCTGAATTTTGACTTCTAGCCTACTAGACTGTGAAAGAATAAATTTCTCTTTGTTAAAGTCAGCCACTTGTGGTATTTCTGTCATAGGAGCACCAGATAACTAAAACAGTCGCTGAGTTGGAACCAACTCCAGGGCACCTAACAACAACAACAATAGGTGCCTGTCTGGAATGTAGGGGCTAAAGACACAAGATGTTGGTTACACATAAATCTAAAGAAACCATCTAGTTATTACCTCTGTCTTAGGCTGGGTTCTCTAGAGAAGCAAAACCAGTAAAGCATATAAATATATAGAGAGATTTATATCAAGGAAACAGCTCACACGATTGTAGAGGCTAGAACGTCCCAAGTTCGTGGATCAGGGTAGAAGCCTCTCCCAGTTCACCTAGCCGCAGAAGCTGGTGAACCCAAGATTGGCAGATCTGAGAGCAGGGCTCCCGCTCACAGACTGTGCAGGTCAATGAATTCCAAGATAGGCAGGCAAGACTGCAAGGTTTTTCCTGATTCACGTAGCTGCAGGGGCTGGCGAACCCATTAGCAGGTTGGGGAGCAGGACTCTTGCTCGCAGGCTGTGAAGATCGACAAATCACAAGATCGACAGGTAAGCTGCTAGCTCAAGTCCCAAGAACCAGAGGTGAGATGACAAGAGCTTCTGGGTCTGAAACAAGCCAAAAACCTTGGCAATGCCAGCAGGAAGGAAGTAGCCGGCGGAGGGCAGGGAGATGAAGGCTGAGAGGGCTGTGAGCCGCCACAGGCCCCGCCCTCGCCAGTACCACTCAGTATATTCCATCACGGGGGTGATCACATATCAAATTTCAACAGGGAAGCGATCACAACATTATACAACTGCCAAAACACAGAATCATACACTAGCCAAGTTGACATACAGTCTTAACTATCACAGCCTGTAAGGATTTGATTATTTAATATCTTAAACTTTTGCCCCGTGAAACCAGGCCTCGGTGATGTTCTCCGAGCCTGACCCAGATGCTTCCATCTTGTTTTAGTTTCTATAGTGTTTATGAGGATGGATTTCCTTTGGTTTATCTCGTTTGGGGTTCACCGAGCTTCTTGAACTTCTAGGTTTATATCACTTAACAAATTTGAGAAGTTTTCAGCCAGTAATTTTCAAAGTATTTTTTTCAGCATTAGCACTTTTTCTCCTCTCCTGTGGCTCTGATAACACAAATGTCAGAGTTTTGATCTCTGAGCCTCTGTTCATTTTTTTTTCCCCTGTATCTGGCAGGCGGGCAGATAGAGAAGAAAAGCAACCCCCTTGGAGCCATACCTCCACTGAATGGAGAGGAAGGTTCCACCGTCTCAGAGTGTCTGTTGCAGTATGCTTTCAGTGTTGCAGTCTGGCATTGCTGCAGTGGAATTACTTGGGGGTTGGGGCACAGAAGAATGTAGAAAAGAAAAAAAGAAGGGGTCTTTCCACTTTTCTCTCTGAGCATTATGAGTTCCATTTCCCATTCTTCGAGCCAGAACAAGAGGAATTCTTCTGGAGCTCTCTCTTTGCCCCAGTGCCCACTTCTAGTGCATTGAGTTCAGTCTGGGAGATACTAGTGAAGAAAAAGTGACAAGGTCATGGCTGGTTTGGTGGTATTTCGAATTCTGGTCAAAATATTTTGCCTGATACAGTTTACTTTTCAGAGTTCTCAAATTGCTGCTCTATGCTGCCCAGGTAGGAGTTTGGAGTGTGCTTAATTTTATATTGCCTAGAACTGAAACCTGTCTTTAGTTTGTTTTTGCCATTAAAAATGGCACGTGCTCTAGCATTTGGTTTCAGTATTGTGTTTTTTGTTTTTTTTCTCCTTAAATAGATTGATCCAGAAAACATGGCCACTGCAATTAGGGAGGTGGGAGTTTGGAGACAGACCAGAACACTCCTACTGAAGAATTATCTAATTAAATGCAGAACTAAAAAAAGTAGTGTTCAGGTAAGTTAAATGATTCTTATGCCTTGTTACAGTTTATTTTGCTTTGGTATGTTCTGTCTGATTTATTTTGCTCAGTATATTTTTATTATAATTTTACTTCCTTAACTCCCTTTAATTTGCTTATGAAGTAGAATCTTTTTGTATTTGCTACAGAAAAATACCCAGATTACCTAATGCTTTCCAACTGTTAAAAAATTTAATAATGATTCCTGAATTTAGTTAATTTCTACCATCAGTGCTTAAGTTTGAACCTTTAGGCATCCATTTTCCAAGTTGGTGTTTCATGGACTAACATTCCACAGAAAACGTAGTGGAACATTATTCCATAGTTATATTCTTCCCGCACTCCCAACTTATGGTCTCTCCATTGAGTTTCACAAGATTACCAAAATACTGGCCCACATTTGTACCCACAAGCATGCCTTACTTTTAAAGTTAAAGAGGTAAAAGAAGATAAGAACTCTTGTTAACCAGCTATTAAGAATTTTAAAGAATAAAATACATTGTTCATCTCCTAAAATTGCCAGAACAAGTAAACAGCAAGATGAAATAATAGTTCATCCCTATTAAAGCTGAATATAGAACATAACTGAGTATAGTTTTAGAAGTATAAATTCAGGTATAATTAAAGTATACATTCTAATTTAGACTTCAAGAAAGACATTTTTTAGTAGGTTCCATTAAATTTTATATGAAAAAATGTATTATATTTTACATTAGTAATGTATTTAAATACTAGCTTTTATGTCAGTTTGTCACTTAAGTTTTAAAATATTTCAGTAGAACTGAATATAAAGGAAAAGTTACCTAATATGCCTGTTTGATTAGGTGAGATGCTGAACACAATATTTCTTTTGGGATAAAATTCCCTTTACTAAGGTCTTTTTGTACTTAAGAAAGGAGACCCAAATTCCTCTTTTTTTTTTAAAGTATTATGTCATTTGCATAGAAATCTGGTATTTTTTGCTGCCACTATCACATCTTATAATCACTCTGTTTCTGTCCTTTATTTTAGGAAATTCTTTTTCCACTATTTTTTTTATTTTGGTTAATATTAATTAGCATGATACATCCAAATAAGAAATACGAAGAAGTGCCTGATGTAGAACTTAACCCCATGGACAAATCTATCCTCTCTAACCTAATTCTTGGGTATACTCCTGTGACTAATATTACAAGAAACATCATGCAAAAAGTGTCTACTGATCACCTTCCTGATGGTATTGTGAGCTTATATTTGTATTCTGTCTATAACGTGAAGTCTCTTCAGTATTTGTCTGCCTGTTAGAAATATGTCTCTTCATCCAAATACAGTTTTATAAACATATGAAAGTCATTTAATTCTGTTGCTTTCTGTTTTTCATGAAACATTAACTTGTCTTCTTGGCAATAGGAAGAAGATTTTGTATATTTTCATATTTTATATTTAAATCTTAGACCATTTATAAAATAGATCAAGTATAATTTTTAGGCTAAAATATTTGATAGAGTATTTCATTTTGATTCTGATTCTAGTGTAATAATTAAGAAACTAGAAATATATGATAAAGTAAGTAGTATAATAAAACAGTAATCTTTTCAGGTTGTCATTCCTCTTTATGGGGCTATATGGTGTAAACTGAAGAAGTACTTGGTACTAGAGACTATGATTGTGGCTAAGTACTTGTTTCTGTTCTTTCAGTGTCTATACTTTTCACAAAGAAACAGGTTAGAAAACAGTGTAAGCAGTGAGGTACTAGTGGGACTAAAGTGGCTGTGAAAGAACCTGAGGGAAGAACTGGAGAAAGTAACTGAAATAACTATACTATGGGTTTAATGAAAAATGATGAATTATAGAAATAACAGATTAGCATGTTGTTATTAGTCATATAGGATAGTTGTAAAATTAATCAACTTCTAGTATGTGTCATCAAATTATTGGACAGTGTATCACTAAATGGAAGGAGTAAATTATATATTCAGGAACCAAATTGTATTTTTGCCGTTGGTTTCTTTCTCAGTTTTTGCTGTTTAATATTTAATCCTATATTTTATTGATATGTTTATTGGTATATTAAGTGCAAATAACGTGGATGGCATAAGAATTTAGTGTGCAAGCTCAAAAAACTGATCAGAGATTCTGAGAACAAAATTCATGGGTAATTCTGAATAGAAGGAAAGGTATATATAAAAAAAATCCAAATCAGCAAGTATTAACTTAGGTGCCAAAGTGGTAGAAAAGTATATAGAGTTTTAAAGTTCTGTCTTTTTAATAGCAGAACTATCTGAAAATGGGATATACATACATACATGGTAGCATGACATGGTTCCATGACTGGTAGGATGTTGAACTGCTGTTGTTAGGTGCTGTTGAATCAGTTCCGACTTACAGCGACTGTGTAGGATGGAGCAGAACTGCTCCGTGGGGTTTCCAAGGAGAGGCTGGTGGATTTGAACTGCTGACCTTTTGGTTAGCAGCTGAGCTCTTAACCAGTCTGCCACCAAAGCTCTTTATCCAAGTCAGTCCTGGAGTTCCATGTCTATCTTAAAGGTCTGGAATATCATGTTAGTTAATATTTAAACAATACTGTTAGTTTACAAAGCATTTTCATGTTTATTACTACATTTGATATTGAAACAATCTAGTGTGAGCAGCTAGGTAGCATAGATGAGGACACTAAGGTTCAGAGAGGTTAAATGACTTACCTGTGTACCCACAGCTAATGAATGACAAAGTTAAGTACCATTCCTGTGTTCTTTCCATTTCACCACGTTCTGAAGTTCTGTAGTGAAGCTTAGTTGGTTGTAAACAAAACTGCAAGAAAATATTTAAAAGCTGGTATTTGGTGCAAAAGGGAGCTGACTGCAATTATTTGTTTTCTCCACATATCATCTAAGAAAGGGACAAGCAATATTGGACTTAAGTGACAATTTGTATTCAAAGAAGAGTCACAGCATAGTTATTAAAATACATTACTTAGTTCCTGATAAGGATTATGGAATTTTACCCATAAGAAGAAATATTTAAAAATAAAATAGCCATTCATTTATCAAGGAGTTATCTATATAGTTTTACTTTGAGAGAGATAACTGAACTGCATTGCTTGTCATTCTTCTAATTATTATTACTGCCTGAAATCTTAATTTGAATTTAACAGTGTATCTGAAATTAAGCCTGCTGGTCAAGGATTTTAAAGAGAAAAGAGTGGAGATGATATCAAAACTATTCAGTATTAAAGTTTAGTATAGTGTATTGAAGTTTTTGAAAAATAGATAATCTTTTTGTGAAATAGGAATTCTGCATATTGTTTTATACTATACTTTATCGTATTCATAACTTAGTATTAAACTGACACATAATTTACATAATCAAATGACAGTTGAGTAGTTGGTAAAATTGTACTATTCACTATTTTTTGTTTAATATTATTTTCTTAGAAGGTCTGTATTCGTTTTTTCAAGAAGTTAGAGAAGAAATAGAAGTACTTAAAATATTACATTTGTCCAGTAGATTTGTACATTTCATCTACTGTATTATAGTAAACTTTTTAAATCTGTGAGTTAATTATATAGTTATATTATTTTGCAGTCATAATTACTGAAGAATATACAAATGAAAAAGAATTGATAGCATCCAGTCTTTCTAAGCCCACCAACTTTGTAGGTGTGGTTTTCAAAGATTTCATGTCCTATGAACTTCGTTTTTTTCCTGACAAGATTCCAGTATCTTCTATTTATATGGATTCAAGAGGTAAATAACCCTAAATTAATCACTGAAAATCAATCAAATGCATGTCTTTGCGGTCTCAGTTCATATGCATAATTTGATGAGGTTCAGCATTGGCACTTTCAGCTATACTTGTTTAGACGAAAAACTGTCAAGTGTAACATAAATATTTATATGTATACACAAATTATCTATGTACATATGCATATATCCAAAAAAAAACAACAAACCCTTTGTCGTAGAGGCAATGTCAACTCATAGTAACCATGTAGGACAGGGTAGAACTGCCCTATAGAATTTTCAAGGCTGTAAATCTTTTCTTTTCTTTTTTTTCTTATTGTACTTTAGATGTAGGTTTACAGAACAAGCTAGCTTCTCTTTAAACAGTCAGTACACATACTGTTTTATGACATTGGTTAACAACCCCACGACATGTCAACACTCCCTTCTCGAACTTGGGTTCCCTATTATCAGCTTTCCTGTCCCCTCCTGCCGTTTAGTCCTTGCCCCTAGGCTGATGTGCCCCTTTAGTCTCGTTTTGTTTTATAGGCCTGTCTAATCTTTGGCTGAAGGGTGAACCTTGAGAGTGACTTCATTACTGAGCTAAAAGGGTGTCCAGGGACCATACTCTCAGGGATTGAACCTCTGACCTTTCGGTTAGCAACCAAGGGCTTAACCACTGCGCCGCCAGGGTTCCTCTATACATATATACATAATATAAAATATATTTATATAACATCCATTTTAATTTTAATGCATTGATATATTCTATATAGATTACAGTAACATAAGCAAAATTTATCTTGAATTATATGATTTTGTAAAACTACATGTTTTTCTCCATGTAAATTTTTTCACATACGTTACAGGTTTTACCACAGGCAATGGTCATATCTTTAAAATCTCAGGGTCTTCCACCAATGAACTTTATTAGTTTTACATTTGAAACATGGAAAACCGACTTCAGTGCTAAAACTTATGAAGAGATGATGATCATCAGCCACAAACATTTATTGAGCACTGTTAAAGTCACTCTGCTAAGTACTGAATTAGTGACTTGATTCGAAGAAACCCTTACGGAAACGTTTGTTTTCTCTTTTCTTAAGATAGACTTGTTCTTATATCTGAAAGTGCTTTGAAGCTGATGTCATTGTAGTATAACTTACCTTAAAACAGAAAAGGGACATATTTTAAATAACTATGCTTACAGTTAATTCCTTTTCATTTTTATTGATTTACCAATGCCTTTCAGTATCTTAACACATGAAATGTCTTTATTTAAATTCTTAAATAAACAATCAGAATGTTATATAAATACTGTTTATTTTAGAAGGCAGTAGTTTATTTTCTATGGTCCTGTAGAGATTGATTGATTATATTACTTTGGTTAACTGTCTATTGTAACTTTAAAAGAAAGTAGTTACATGTTGTGCAAAACCTTCTGTCTCACAATTTTCTCCCTATAGCTGGCTGTTCAAAATCATGTGAGGCTGCTCAGTACTGGTCCTCAGGATTCACAGCTTTACAAGCATCTATAGATGCCACCATTATAGAGGTAAATATTAAAAGGAAGAAAATTAAAGCTAAGCCATGTTTTAATAATTATATCCTAATTCTTTACAATAGAATTTGGTTTGATTGATGTCAAATATACAAAATACATAACTTATTACAACCTGTTTAAGAAAAAAAATTAAGAAGGCATGTTTTATGATTTAATACTCGTTTGAAACCCACTTTACTTGATGATTTCTAAGGATATGAGTCAGCATTTATATATCTGCATTATTATATTGTGTTGACTATAGGTAATATTCATGAAGGATCTTATTTGCAGACTTTTCTCCTGGAATACAAACTGCTTATTTAAAAGATTGCAACTGTCTTTATTATCATAATCATAGTAGTAGATTTTATTTTTTATTTAAAAAACATTTAGCACTTATTTGCCAAACACTATTTCTTAGTTATATATAAACATTAACCCATTTAATCCTTAAAAACCCTATGAAATAGGTGCTGTTATTATGTCCATTTGTATTTGAAACTGAAACACAGAGATAAGTGGCTTCCAATACTGACTAGTAGCAAATCAGAGATTTGAACTCTGGCTTTTTGGCTCCCAGAAGTATGCTTTGAAAACTATATTTTGCTGTCCCTGGGATTGTGTATAAATGTTACAATTAGATTCTAGGGACGTGCTTAGACTTCATCCAGCTTTTCACATTTTAGCACAAAAACTAGCCATGATATTTATTTTAAAAATCTTTATTTTGTATCTGGGCTAGATAGCAGTAAGATGAAGTTCTCATAGAGTTCAAATTATTCAAATTAATCATACCTCATTCCTTGATGTCCTATTTGAATCTGTTGTTTATTTTTTCTAACTGAAATTTATTATACTGTAAAATATTATAATTTAGATTATGTATCTAAACAGTTATCTCTACTAAACGGTATGTTTAGAGCATATATGAATAGTAATAGAGCTGGAATTAAGAAAGGAGCAGAATTCCATCTCTGTTAGTTGCTTGTTGTGTGAATTTGGACAGTTTATTTAACAGCTGTGTCGTAAAATGACTACCATAATAATGCTTTACTTGACAGAGTAGTTGTAAGAACCAGATAAGATGCTGTATGTAGAATTGTCTTATAAACCCTTGCAACATGGTATAAATGCATTATAGATAAGAACATTACACAAATTCAATAGTGTAGGAGTTTAAGGTAAAGACAATGAAATATGGTGTTAGAGTACTTCCTTGTGTTTTGGCCAGAGACCTTAGCAGTCCACAGCCCAGATCCATATACTGGATGAATAGGCAGGGCAGATCTCATTTTAGGCATTCAATTATATCTTGGCTAGAACTATCACATGACATAGTTTTATTATACCTGCTGCATGTATAGATTTTAAAGTAATAAAAGGGCATACTATTCAAAAGAACAGTTTTTGAACAGAGTCATTCTTTCATGGTACTAGTAATGATTCATTAATCCCTCAATTTTGTAGGTGTATATTTTTTGTTAAGATGAATACAATGACTTAAGATGATAATTGCAGAATTTTTTAAGTAAATCATTTAATCAGAGTTTGTACACTTCCCAACTTTGAACTTTAAACTGTGTGACATGCCCACAGGGTGAATTAAAGGCAGTATTTTACTCTGTATCCTGATATTGGGGTCAGTCACTTTATTTCAGTTGTATAGCTTTTTGAGGATTGTGTTTGTACTAGGTTATTGACTGAGTTTTGGAGTATAAGTGTCACATTTTATCGGGCTGCTTTCAGAACTAAGTTAATTGAATGTATTTACATTTTCTGTTATAGTTGAAGACCAATGTTTCTCTTTGGAAGGAGCTGGAGTCAACTATAGCTATTATTATGGGAGAAGCTGCTGTTGTAGAAATAGATACCTTTCCCCGAGGAGTAATTTTAATATACCTAGTTATAGCATTTTCACCTTTTGGATACTTTTTGGCAATTCATATTGTAGCAGAAAAAGAGAAAAAATTAAAAGAGTTTTTAAAGATAATGGGACTTCATGATACTGCCTTTTGGTATGTTATTAAAAGTTTTTTATTTAATTAACAATTGTATTAAATATCATATAAATCTTTGTAATTGTTATTTTATTATTCCCCTGACTCAATGTAGTGTTGATCCTATTTTCTTACAATTATTGCCTTTGCCTTGGAATTTAAGACTAGTCAACAAGCTTCTGCAATTAATTGGCCTATTTTAACATAAACCAGCAAAAAAAATAAAAAAAAATACCAGTTGCCATCCCGTCAGCTTGTCAGAGTAAAACTGTGCGCTATAGAGTTTTCAATGGCTGATTTTTTGGGAAGTAGGGAGCCAGGCCTTTCTTCCAAGGTGCCTCTGTGTGGACCTGAACCACCAACTTTAGTTAGCAGTTGGGTGCATTAACCGTTTGCACCAACCATAGTCTGTTTTTCAAAATTTTATTCTACTTAATCCAGTGTAACAGTTAATTTTAACACTTTACATAATGACATCATTGTGTATAACATATTTTCTTTGCTCTTTTTCTTCTGTCATTTTAAAAGTAATTGGTTTTTAAGATGCATTATGTTATTAAAGTATTTTGTAATAATTTAGCTGGATGATGTTAGACAAATCAATCTCTCAGTGCCTCAGTTTTGCCTCTGTCAAATAATGGATTCAGGTTTGGTAATTTAGGTATTTTTTGACCCTAATTCAATGATTTTAAGATATTACACATTGATCACAAAATCATGATCTGCTAACTTGTAAGAATAAAAATAAAATGAAGCTAAATACTGTAGCAATTCCACTGAGCTCTAACTTGAAGAGAAATGAGTAAATTACAGTTGATTCATTATTGATCTTGATCTCATTGTTTAAAGGTAGTAATTATGATGTTGATTAGTGAAGTAGTCTTTATTGTTTGCATTAACAAAAATTGTGAAAGGTTTAATTGTAGCTTATGCCCTAAAGAAAATTGTACTTTGACTCATTAAATTCTTTTGTATTTAAATAAATCAGAGGTATGGTGTGTTATGGAATTTTTAAGAATGTTAGATTTACGTTAGTCATGAACTGCTGCTAATTTTTAACGTTTTCTGTGACTTTGAAAGATAATCGCCATTTTATTTCCATATCAGATTACACTTTTACCTGTAACTTAACCAATACTGTATTTTCAGTTACATATGAAGAGTATTGATTTTCAATATGTGAACATATACAGATAAATAGATTGACTTAATTTTGAGAATAAAATGGCTAAAATAAAGCTGACGGTTTTTTAAAATGATTTTTTAACTGTGAATGCCTATGCATTTTGACCATACGTGTGCTTTTATTCTCATTTTAGGCTTTCCTGGGTGCTTCTGTATACAAGTTTGATTTTTCTTATGTCCCTTCTTATGGCAGTCATTGCAACAGCCACTTCATTATTCCCTCAAAGTAGCTGCTTTGTGATATTTCTACTGTTTTTCCTGTATGGGTTATCATCTGTAAGTATTTGAATTTGAAATGAGAATAAAGAACTGTGAAAATAATTTGATTAATATAGCAAAATGTTCTTTTTTTGTTTTTGTTTTGTTTGCTTATAGTTTATTTCCCATGAAAGACAGGTTGTTAGTATGTTACTGATAAATGCCTTGTATATAGCATCATTGTACCTCCATAATTTTAGGGAAAGTACAAAATAGTCTCATGTTTAAATATAATGTAGTTTCATATGATGTATTTCACATTAGGTTTCCTATGAATCTTTTACTGCCTTCATGTAATCATGTGTCTAATTAAGATTGTCCAGTCTTGACTTTTTTTCTTGGTTTTCATGAAATCCTGAGTGTTTTAATAAAATTTATACTATAGGATAATAATGCTTAAGGATGTGTCTTTTTAAGTATAACTCTCTAGCGGTAGTTATTCATCTGGTATGCTGGCTGAATGCTGGCTGTTAGTGACCAGCTTTTATGTTAAGTGGTTCCAGATTACATTCTGATTGGTTTATATGCCCATGCTTTACCAGTTGTTACATATTTTTAAAAAGATAAATTAAAAATAATTCCTATACTTATGCATATAATTGCCGGGTTTTTAACTGGTTATGTATCTTATCAGCACATTGAGATTAAAGGATGAGTTCTGTATTTAAAACACTTGTTGATTTGTTGTTTTTTTCACCTATATGTACATCTAACTGCAAAAACACATGGCTGTTTATGGTTTCTATAGCATCGAGTTGATCATATTTGTCTACTATACAGATAAAATGCAGTTTTGAATATCTTCCATTTAAATTTTTATGTATATCACTATGTTAGAATAAAATATCTTACTATAGCATTTAGAAATTAATTATTTTTTAATGAATGTATTTTCCAGTGGAAATAGCTTGTTCTCATAAGCAAAATTTCATTTTTATTATCACACCAGTGTATATGAACAATACATTAATCTTAATATTTATATCTTATAGGTATTTTTTGCTTTAATGCTGACGCCTCTTTTTAAAAAATCAAAACATGTGGGAATAGTTGAATTTTTAGTCACTGTGGCTTTCGGATTTATTGGTCTTTTGATAGTCCTCATGGAAAGTTTTCCCAAATCATTAGTGTGGCTTCTGAGTCCTTTCTGTCAGTGTACTTTTTTGATTGGTATTGCGCAGGTAGGTAATATGTTTTGCATTTCCTAAGTCTTTTCTTTTCTCTGCAGTTCCATATAGCATGTTGTTATTGTTGGGTGACATCAAGTCAGTTCTGACTCATAGCAACTCCATGTGATAGAGTAGAACTGCCCCATAGGGTTTTCTTGACTGTAGTCTTTATGGGAGCAGATTGCTAACTCTTTCTCCTGTGGAGTCATTGGGTAGGTTCGAACTGCCAGTGTTTTGGTTAGAAGCCGAGTACCTAACCATTGCACCACCAGGGCTCATACATGTAGCATCTTATATATCTTTAATTTGCAGGAAAAAAAAAGTTTTAAAATTTCAGCATGAGAAAGGAGTGATGTTTGAATACCAGAACACATTTTATATCTGCAGTGGATAAGAGCTCAGCCTCTAGCAAAAAAGGTCAGCTGTTCGAATCTAGCCGCTCCTTGGAAACCCCATAGGGCAGTTTTACTCTGTCCTGTAGGGTCGCTGTAAGTCAGAATCGACTCAGCAGCAACGGGTTTGGTTTTGTTTTGGGTTCATTTATATTTTCTCCATTTTTAAGGGTTTCATTTGTAACTTCTCCATTTATAAGTACTTTCTCCCATTTCAGTATTGGAAAAATGCTAACCATAATTTTATCCTCTTATACTTAATTTGTTTGACTTCTATGTGGACCATAACCCTTTTGTTTGCATATTGGTATTAGCATCATACTTTATTATCGTTTCATTTGTTAGTCATAGCATTAGAGTGAAGTGTTCAAGGATTGGAGGTATCCTAGTTTAAGAAAGCATTTAAAACACGATTGAAAGTAATTGTGATAAATCTATATTTCAGTAAAGTATTTATTGTTTTCCTTGTAAATTCATATTACTAATTTGGTAAATTGTTTCATCTGGTAAAAGGCCCTATTTGCTTACTCTCATTTTGGAGATAAAGAATAATTCTAAGTCTAAAATAGTATAGGCTTTTGCTTGTTTTTATTATTTTCATATAATTAAGTTGATGTTTCTGTTGTTTAGGTCATGCATTTAGAAGATTTTAATGAAGGTGCTTTGTTTTCTAATTTGACTGAAGGCCCATATCCTCTAATTATTACTCTTACCATGCTAGCGCTTAATAGTATATTTTACATCCTCTTGGCTGTCTATCTTGACCAAGTCATTCCAGGTATGCAGTTGATTATTGGGTTTTATTTTAAAGTGTTTAATTTTTTTGCCCAGATAGGGTCAACTTATTTATTTTTCTTTCTAACCAGAGTACCCCAAGTCATATTCATTGTTAAGGCTTTTATTAAGTACTTTTATACCTTGTGCTTTTACCACTACTGAACAGGAAGAGATTTTGTAAAAAGAGAGCCATTTGTTTTGAAATTCTTAAGTTGCAAACTGAACTTCTTGGCTAAAGTATTTTATTATTCTACCCACTAAGGTCCAAAGCTGTGAAGGAGTCTTATGACTCCTACCATTCCTCTCGTCTCCTATCATACATCTATAGCCAACTCCTGTAGATGCAGCCATGTTATTAAATATCCAGCATCCCATTCCTTGTCCCCTGGAGTTCCTCATTACTTTTGTCTGTATTCTAGACCTACACTGTCTTATTTGGTGGCTTTTAAAATTTAAACGAGTATAAAATTAGATAAATAAGACAGTTCAGTTCTTCAGTAGCAGGAGCCACATCTCCATTGCTCAGTAGCCACATATGGCTGCTAGCTACCATATTGGACAGTACAAATATAGAACAGTACCATCATCCCAGCAAGTTCTATTGGGCAGTGCCAATCTAGACCATTGCAGTACCTCTTACCTAGTTTTCCTACCTCTAGTCTATCAAAGGACTTTACCACTCACTTTAATCAAGTTAGTCACCTGCTCAGAAACCTTGCTGACCGTATCCTCATGAAATAAGTAGAAACTCCTTATATCCATAGTACTTTTATATATTTAATCTCTCACTCTCATCTTCACTCTCCTTATTATATCTTATATCCATTCATACAGTCTTATTTACCTATTTAAACACATCCTAATGTATCATATTGTTTTCAGCTATTCATAACAGAAAACCTTTCTAAATGGCATAAATTAATTGACTGACTTAAAAGAAATTCCAGAGATAGAATAGGCTCCAGGGTTGGCTGGTTTAGCTCAATTATGTCATCAGAGATCCACTTTTTTCTGTACTTTGCCACCTTTGTCTAAGAGTCAGGCAGTGACTCGGGTCTTGTCTTTGTTCATGTCTAAAGGGAAAGGGTAGGGGAACCGCTCCCCTAACTAAACTCTTCCTCCACGATTGGTTACATGTTTACTGCTGGAGCAATAATATTCACCAGAGGAATGCCAAATATTGATTGGCCCTAGATTAGTTTGGATCTTCTCTGTAGTTGGGATCAGATCCCTTGGAAACATGGCCATCTGAAGAGGGGTAGATATTTTTTTTAACAATGGAGGGTATAGGTTTTTTGGGTGGGAAGAGGGAAAAATGGGTACATGCTATGTAACAATCACTGTCTACCTAATATCCATGTAAGTCTCTTACTTCTTCCCTTTTGCTGTGTTGCTCTCCTAATTCTGAAATGTCTTCCCTAAGAACTATATCCAGTTTTCTAAATGCCACCTATTTTCAAAAACTGTCTACAATGGTACCCATTCAAACCTTCAGGATTTATCCCTTAGCCAGATGTAAACTTTTCCTTTTTTGAACTCAGTACCATGCATGGCATGCCTCACGTTCTGCATTGTATTGTAGCCATAAGATACAAATTGCTTTAGGACAGAGAATGTGCTTTACTCACCTTTAGATTTCCATGAACTCTGAGCAACTCTGGAACTTTGTGGACTAGAATTGTTTGTCAGTAAAACTTAGATTTTCACAGAGTATTGATTTAGTACTTTATCCATATGTAAATGTTAGATTTAGGTTGTTATGTTTCAAATACTGCCTTTACCAATGATTTAAAAACTAATTTTCAGGAATGATAGTTTATGTTATAACTCTATTTTTGTTAATATTCAGGTGAATTTGGTTTACGGAGATCATCTTTATATTTTCTGAAGCCATCATATTGGTCAAAGAGCAAAAGAAATTATAAGGAGTTACCAGAAGGCAATGTGAATGGGAGTATTAGTTTTAGTGAAATTGTTGAGCCTGTTTCTTCAGAGTTTCTAGGGAAAGAAGCTATCAGGTACGAATGGACTCTTCGGCAAATTAGTTATAAAAACTGCCACTGTGGAATCTGCCACATTTAAACTCTATCTTTTAAATAATGTATGAAAGTATTATATCTTAGGTGATTTGGTACATACTTTGTAATTTTTAAAACACAGTATTGGTAAGGATTACTTTTCTTTTAAAATTTTTATTTTCTGTGCAACTATTCAGAATTAAGGTTGGTGCTAGATTTGAAATTATGTTTCAGCGGAAATTTTTAAAAGTAATAAAATCCAATGTTTATACAATTAAGCTGCTTAAAGCTTTCTCCATTATGTATATTGAAAATGATTAAATATGGACTATAATTTTATTCATACTTGATTTGTCTCAATGTATTAAATTGCCCTTTGTTAATTTCATATACCCTTAGGGTATTATAACATAATTAGAATTTTAGTTTAATTTTTATGAACCAAAGAAATGCATTATTATTCCTTGTTTGATTAATCAACACCAAATCAAATAATAATAAGAGCGAGAAGAAAAGAAAAAGAAAAAAGAAAATAAAAAGAGAAATATATTGTGCGTTCTTTAAATTTAAGAAAAATATATAACAACAAGGGGAGAAATAAAATACTTCAGATATAATCAGTGGGCCAGTGGTCTCCCTTCCCAAGGGTAAAATTTGCAGTAATTAGCAAAATCATTAATTCTTTTAAAAAATTATGTAAAAAATATCTAAAGTGGAATGGGGGAATTGCTCCATGTTTGTAGACAGTTGTGGTGACATGAAATAGCATTTAATTTCTATCCCATTTAACTGATGCAATAAATGTTTTGATTAATTACAAATAGAAAAGTATCAAAGATGAAAAGAAGTCCACAAATTGCTAGAATCAAATACTTGATTTTCTTTTTGGAAGTTGTTTTGGCATGAAAAATGAATGAATGACGCTTCAAATGGAAGGGAATACTATATTTTTCTTTCATAACTTCTCGAAAATAATTTTATAATAAAATAATTTGATAATTGTCAGCTATCTTTGGTTCATTGCTTTAGTAGGAAGGTAATTTGTTATTACTATTAAACATGACAGCTTTGATACAAGTGTTACACATATAAGCATACACACTTAAAAATTGCTTCAAGTACTTAAAGTCGCAAACTGTATTTTTCAGAATCAGTGGTATTCAGAAGACATACAGAAAGAAAAGTGAAACTGTGGAGGCTTTGAGAAGTAAGTAGGTTTCCTAGTATTCAGTGCATGGTATTAAAGTATAAATACTAAAACAATGGGAAATTTAAAATTTCAACCACAATTTTCTCTCATTTAGGAATACTTTCATTTATTTATGTAATTGATATTCATAGTAAAAACAGTAACACAACATCAAAATAGTAAAAACAAAAAGTAATCTATATGAAAAATATTCAACTGTTTGAACACATCTGTGTCCTTTTTCATTTAATTGTTATGCATGTGTATGCATGAGCCCTGGTGGCGCAGTGGTTGAGAGCTTGGCTGCTAGTCAAAAGATCGTTAGTTCGAATCCACCAGCAGCTCCTTGAAGCCTTATGGGGCAGTTCTACTCTGTCCTCTAGGGTCACTATGAGTCGAAATCAACCTATGGCAATGGGTTTTTTTATACGTGTAATTTTTTTTCTTTTTTTTTTTTGGTATAACCCTGCTCAGGGTTTCTCAACCTTGGCACTATTGTGATTTTGGGCAAAATAATTCTTTGTTGTGGGGAACTGTCCTAAGAATTGTAGGATGTTTAGCAGCATCCCTGATGTCTACCCATTAGATGCCAGTAGCACCCTTCCCTAAGTTGTGACAACTAAAAATGTTTTGAAGTTTTACCTCTATGTTTTCTTCTTCTAAGAGTTCTATGATTTTAGTTCTTACATTTAGGTCTTTGATCCATTTTGAGTTAAACATATGGTGTGAGGTATGGTTCCAGCTTCATTCTTTTGCATGTGGAAATCCAATTGCCCCTGTACCATATATCGAAGAGACTATTCTTTACTGGGGCACAAGGCATGATGGACATACCATCTTTTACACTCAAAATGATTAAGCTTGTGTTTGTGTGTGTTGTGGGGCTGGAGAAGTAACTATTTAAAACCACTACACTCACCAAGAAGGAGAGGACAAGATCCTCCAAAAGGGAAATACTTAAAACGTTTTAAACATGGTATTTGTGCCTCTCTTCTGTATAGCTCATAGAAATTTTTCTTTTTAACTCAGTGTGTGCTATGATATCCCAAGATTTGTAACCTATGTACAGGTAGTCCCAGACTTAGGACATATTTGAGTTACAGTGAATCACACAACCTTCTGGGTTGTGTGTGTGTGTGTGTGTGTGTGTGTGCATCTTATCATTAGTAACGTGTACTACAGTGTTGCAGAACATAATATGCTGATGTTATTCTCAGATGTTCACTTGCAGATGTTTAGTGTTATGACTTATAAAGATACAAATAATAAAAGGCAATAATACTTAAAATTAAAAAATAAATAAATGTGGTATTTGACTTACATCAGAACCGACTTACGATGGCATTGTCGGAACAGAACCCCGTCCTAAGTCAGGAACTACCTGTGTCGTGATGCTTTATTAATTTATTACTTTTCCTCTTTTCTTACATAGTATTTACTTAGCCATTTCTGTACTATTGTCTGATTTCTAGTTTTTTATCAATGTATTTAACATGCTTGTAAATAGCTGTGAGGATAAATTTTTGTTTGTTTATCTGTTTTAATTCCCTTGGGAATTTCCCAAAAGTAAGTACAGGGAAAGCCAAATATTTTGTGTACCCCCTAAATCTTAATGGTTGCGTAAAAAGTCTGTTCTTACTTACTGTTCATGCTACTGATTATAACACAGAAGTTTTTTTACTGCTATAAAATACAATAGAAAATTTTAAATCCGTCTTTAAATTTGTTGTCTTACCTCAAGACTGCACAAGTATTATGAATTATTCTGCATCTCTAAACAGAAATAAAAATCACATTTGATTCTTCTCCTTTCCTGAATTAGACTTGTCATTTGACATATATGAGGGTCAGATTACTGCATTACTTGGCCACAGTGGAACAGGAAAGAGTACATTGATTAATATTCTTTGTGGACTATGCCCACCCTCTGATGGTAAGAGTTTTCTGACTTAAAATAAAATTTCTTACTTCATTTTACTAGTGTTTTTAACCAAGATATCACAATGTAGTTATCTATCTTTTAAATGTATACTGAATAATTTTTGTCAGTGATTTTCTCATTTTCTTGACTACACATATTTAGTTCTTTTTCAATAGAAATTAAAATGATTTCATCATGTTTAATAAGGTAAAAAGGATCTGCTTTTGTGCCTATTTTTATCGTATATTTTATAAATATGTGTGTATCTGTTCTTCATTTTCAAGGAAGGATAAATCAGTAACTGATTTGAAAATAAATGTAACCTATTTTAAAGGAGCCCTTGTAGAGCCATGGTTAAGCGCTCAGCTGCTAACTGAAAGGTTGGCAGTTCGAACTCACCAGCTGCTTTGAGAGAGAAAGTTGTGACAGTCTGCTTCCATAAAAATTTACAGTCTTGGAATGGAAACCCTATGGGGCAATTCTTCTCTGTCTTATAGGATCGCTGTGAGTTGGAATCAACTTGACGGCAGTGGGTTTGGTATTTTTGGTTTTATAGATTATTTTAAGTTGAGAAAATAGATACAGGTTTTTAAATACGTAACAGTATGTCGAAAGGGAAAGAATGATAACCGTGAACACCATCTCCTGAAATAGAATTTTAAGAGCACTACCTCAAAATATAATTTTGATATGTAATTTTCATATAGATGAGAATTCATTATGACAACTCCGTATTTCCACAATAAAGTACAATAAATATTTTTACTTTAAAAAAGGACTTCATTTCCATGTATTGAATCTGTATCCCAATCTCTTAAATGCAGTTTAACTTTTAAAATTAGTTTGATTTTATTGTTTATTCCTAATTGTGTCACTGTTCGATGTACTAATAATATCTTACATTTACATAAGATTTATGATTTTTGTTATGACTTTCCATACATTATCACATCGATTTAACAGTTCTTAAGTGGGATATATTAGTATTCAGTTTATAAAAGAGAAAAGCTGGTATTCAGAGAGATTAAATCATCTTCCCAAGACCATAGAGCTGGTAAGGGAAAAGCTTTTAGTTCCTTGTTGACTCCACTATTTGTCTGAAAATGAAAGAAATTATTACCAGAATGTAAGTGAAAATAATGGACTAATAGATAATTTTACTTAATGTGAAGCTTTTATTTCCTTGCTCTTTGCACTGTATAATACTACCTGGAACTGAAGGAAAATGGGATTGGAACATAAGTGAAAGCAAATCACCAAGAGTAGGGGATTGAGGGTGCATCATGTCATCCAAATTATTCTAACTCTTGCGTTATATGTCTGTTAACAACCAAATAACTAAATTGTGAGGATATGTTAAATGAAGCATGCATACTTTTTAATAATTAATACACTTAATGTAAATTTAAATATGTATTTTACTTTTAGGATTTGCATGTATATATGGACACAGAGTCTCAGAAATAGATGAAATGTTGGAAGCAAGAAAAATGATTGGCGTTTGTCCACAATTAGATATACACTTTGATGTTCTGACAGTAGAAGAAAATTTATCAATTTTGGCTGCAATCAAAGGAATACCAGCCAACAATATAATTCAAGAAGTAGGTTATTCATATAGAAAGGTTTTGTTTTATTCCCTGTAAATTTTGTAATATATTATGTAATAAAAATATGCTTGAAAATATAAATGTAAAACCTGTTCTGAGCCAGTAATCGTAAGTCATTTTAAAGAATTAGGTGGAATTTGGAGTAAATGTCTTAGTACACTTAAACTAGTCCTTGTTCTTCTGGAGGATATTGGCCTCTCAAAGTAAATGTTTCTTTCATTCCTCTCTCTTTCCCTTTTCTTTCACATCTGCCCCTCCTCCTAATACACACAGAGCCTTCACACTGATCCTTTCTTTCCCCTTCCCAACTACCCGGGAAGTCACAAAGGAAAACAGACATTTCCCTCAAGAAGTTTGCAATCTGTTGTTTCAAAATTATATATGAATATATGTCAAAATTAAATACTGTACTAAAAGAACATTTTTAAAGTTGATATTAAAATTGGAACATTTAAAAACTAATATAGATAATTATATAAATGGCATGATTTAAAAAATATCATTGTTCACACTTTACTTTTACAGGTGCAGAAGGTTTTACTGGATTTAGACATGCAGGCCATCAAAGATAACCAAGCTAAAAAGTTAAGTGGTGGTCAAAAAAGAAAGCTGTCTTTAGGAATTGCTGTTCTTGGGAATCCTAAGGTAAATAAATGTTAGTTTCACTGAGGAGATAGTTTTAAATTGTGTTGAAAAGAAAAGCATGTTGTAGAAAGTTATATGATACATTTATGTAAATTTTAAACATACATAGAATACTATACATCACTGGATGTAATCATGGCAATAAAGTTTTTCAACTGAGGTCAGAAAGATATATAATGTCTTTGTGATACTTGTTACCTCTAGGATGGAAAATGGAAGAAGGACTTTAGTTACATCTGCAATGTTTAATTTCTTTAAAAAATATGAAAAAAATATGGCCAAGAAATAGGATTTATTAAATTTAAATTGTGGCTATAACAGTATTTTTCTATTATTCTCTGTACTTTTCTGTATATTAAAAATAGTGCATAATAAAAAATAAAAAGTAGAACACAGTCAGAGGAATAGTTCAGTTCATCCCCATTCTGCTGCTTTGATTTTTTTTTTCTTTTTAACATCTTACTGTGTTTTTAGTGAAAGTTTACACAGCAAATTAGGTTCTCATTTAACAATTTCTATACATGTTTTTTGGTGACATTGGGTACATTTTCACAATGTATCAGCATTCTCATTATTTCCATTCTGGTTGTTCTGTTTCCATTAATCTAGTTTTCCTGTCCTCCCTTACCTTCTCAACTTTGCTCTAGGGTAAATGTTTACTGTTTGGTTTTATTTAGATGATTATATAGAGGATCACAGTACTCATGGCTGATACTGTTTATTTTATGAGCCAGTCTGGCTTTTGGCTGAAAGGTGACCTCTGAGAGTGGTTTGAGTTCCAAATTCAAAGAGTATCTGCAGACAGTAGTCTCAGGATTCCCTGTAGTATCTGTTTGTACAGTAAGCCTAGCCTTTTTTTAGGAATTTGAGTTTTGTTCTATATTTTTCTTCCATTATTTCTGGGACCATCTATTGTGCCATATTTTTACGCAAATAATGTGCACCTTCTACGTTTGTTTGCCAACTGCACCGTCTTCCCACCAGGTATTTTGGTAGGCACACTATGCTAATTTTATTTTACAGCAAGGTGTAAAAAAATTGGCATAGTGATGCTTACGAAAATACCTCACGGGGGAGGGAGCAGTTGACAAACAAACGTAGAAGGCATATTTTATTTGCGTAAAAACACGGTAGTTCTTCTGGGCTCCAGATAGGTGAGCCGTGGTTTGTGTAGACTATCAATCCTGTTAACTAGTTTCTTCTTTGAGTCTTTGTTTTTCTTCTTTCTCTTTTGTTCCAGATGAATAGAGACCAGTATTTGTATCTTAGTACTACTTTGATTTTTGTGTGTTTTATGCTGTTCTCAGTCTTGTAGAAACAGAACTAGCTGTAGCACTGTGGCACCGTGGTTAAAACGCTCGGCTGCCAACTGAAAGATTGGTGGTTTGAACTCACCAGCTGCTCCATGGGAGAAAGATGTGGCAGTCTGCTTCCGTAAAGATTACAGTTTTGGCAGCCCTACTGGCTGTTCTACTCTGTCCTACAGGGTTGCTTGGAGTCGGAATCAACTCAACGGTAATGAGTTTGGTTTTTTTTTTTTTTTAAAGAAAGCCGCCAGGCCCATGCTTGCAGGTAGGAGCCTTTTTGATCCCCACCATTCCGCCACATTCTCCCTTGTTGCTACAGCTTGGGAATAACTCAGAATTCTGGTTTTATGTTATTTAATCTTCCTCCCAACCTCCACTGCTGAGATTTTTAAATCAGGAAATAGTGTAAAACAAATTGCTTCCCTTGAAATTAGTATAGGACTTATTTCTCTAATAATTGTTATACCTATAAAATTTAATTGTTCAGAAAACAGCAATATACTTAATGTTTTTAGTTTATTTATCTGATTGTTATTACACTTATGTCTTATGTCTTACAGATACTAGCTTTTAAAAATTAAACCTAGTAAGGTATTCACTTGTCAAACTGATAATTTTTAAAATTTTTGCTAACTCAAATATAAGTGAAAAACTTAGATCTAATGTATTTCTGGCCGGAAAGAATAACTTGAAATGGAAAGATTTTCAGTAGCCACATACATTGTAAATTTTTTAGTTTTCCTGAGAGTTTCCTGCTCTTCACTCTACTCCTTTTCACACAGATACTGCTGCTAGATGAACCAACAGCTGGAATGGACCCCTGTTCTCGCCATATTGTTTGGAATCTTCTGAAATACAGAAAATCCAGCCGGGTGACGGTGTTTAGTACTCATTTCATGGATGAAGCTGACATTCTTGCTGGTGAGGTTTTTGCTTCACTTCTGAAAGATAAGTTCATGGGGCCAAAAGGGAGGTGGACTTAGGAAGGATAAATCATGAGGAATAAATAGAGAACTTGGTCCCTTATGAGTGTGTTCTTCACAGAAAAGGTTTAAAAATTTTAAAAAAACTGTATATTTTTGTGTCGAGTGCTACCCAGACTGCTCTAGGTTTAGTGCTTTACTATGAGGAATCACGGGACTCAGCATATAGCTGTACTCACAGCTATGAGTTATTACATGAACGAATACAAAGCAAAATGAGCAAACAGAAAAGGTGCATGGGGCAAAGTGTGGAGGAAACCAAGCGCAAGCTTCCAAGAGCCCTCTCCCAGTGGGACTGCATCGGGCGCACTTAATTCCTTCATCAGTGAATTGTGACAACATGTGTGAAATGTCCTCTGCTAGGGAAGCTCAGTACAGACTCAGTGCCTATAGTTCTTATCAGGTACTGATCATTGTAGACACCCTCTGCCTAGCACGCATCAAAATTCCAGGCCCCTAGAAGACAAGCAGCTGTTCAGCATAAATCACACAGTTTGTACAGTTTAGGCACAGTGAGCCCCTTGTATCTGTTCTGGGAATGGTGGTAACCACCCCCCGAAATTCAAGTTCTAGACACTAGTCAAGGGCCAACCTTGCTAGCAGGCCTTTCTAAGGATAGCAGTGTCAGGCCTGCTATGTAAACTCTTTTCTGCATAATTTCATATACATACACATACACCAAAAACCTTAGTTTAAGTTAACACGTGACAGTATCTACGAGTTCAAATTTCTGGAGAGACATTTTTCTGCTTATAATGTCACCTAAGAAATTGGGCACGCAATTTATCCCTTCAGCTGTATCTTTGGAAAAAAAAAAAACATCAAAATAACATTTTGTTTTTGTTGTTATTTCTTTTGCTTTTTCAAAGCTGTTTTTACATTTGGTTATAAAGGAATTGTGAAAGCCCTTGCATTAGTAAGCCTCTTGCAAAGAGCCTGAGATATTTGGAGCAGTATAAGGAAAGTGCACTGTAGAGAGTCAGACTGCCTGCGTACAGATTCCAGCTTTGTCACTTAATAGCTATGTGGGCCATGGACAAGCTATATATTTTCTTATTGACTCAGTGTCCTCATCTAAAAACAGGTGATGATAGTCTAGTACCTTTCACATAGGGTTGTGATGATTTCATGAGATAATACATAAGCATCTCCCATAGGGTAATCCATGAAGTATAAATGCCAATTATTAATGTATTATTAATTTAAAAATTGAAATGTAAATCTCTGTTTACAGATAGGAAAGCTGTCATATCACAAGGAATGTTGAAATGTGTTGGTTCTTCAATTTTTCTCAAAAGTAAATGGGGAATTGGCTACCGTCTGAGGTATTATATTCATTCTTTATTCTTTATCATACTCTTCATCTACTATTAATATTTTTAGGGTTTGCTGTAGTGTGCTTTCGCTTCTTTTGTGACATTAAATTTAGTTTAAAACATTCAGAATTTACCTTTTTAGTTGTTGACTTAAGTAATCGTGTGATTTTGGGTTCTCTCTAGCACGTACATAGACAAATACTGTGCCACAGAATCTCTTTCTTCAATAGTTAAACAGCATATACCTGGAGCTACTTTATTACAACAGAATGACCAACAACTTGTATACAGCTTGCCTTTCAAGGATATGGATAAATTTTCAGGTATTACCTACTTTCTGTTTCTTGGTTGTTGAACCAGGGTCTTGCATTGGGAGTAGGTTTTCTTATTTTACCCTGTTTACTTTTCTGTGTGATAATTTTATACTCCACATGGCCATAGTTAATATTCTGTTTATTTTGTTTTTGAAAACCAGAAATACAAGCTAACTTATTTCTTCTTTATACAAACAGCATGCAAGAAACTGTAACTGGTACGTTAACGTAAATGCTCAAAAAAAATGAAAGAAAAAACATAAAAAATAATTGTTTGCTTTGTTATCAAGAAAGAAATAAATTGCTCCAAGATTGGTTGGAGATCTTCTGGGAATAAGGCACATATATAGTTGCTTGTATATGTTCTCAGGAGCCCTGGTGGCACAGTGGTTAAGAGCTACAGCGAGGTACGGCTGCTAACCAAAAGGTCGGTGGTTTGAATCCACCATCTGCTCCTTGGAGACCCTATGGGGCAGTTCTGCTCTGTCCTGTAGGGTCACTATGAGTTGGAATTGCCTCGATGGCCATGGGTTGTTGTTATTGTTATATGTTCTCAAACTCTTTTCCAGTTTCATGATTCCATAATGAATTATATGGTAAACCCTTGAATTATTTTAACTGAGGCAGTGTTTTTCTACTTTATAATGAGGAACTCAAACTTAGTCTTCTTCATCTGTTTAGGAATCTCTAAATAGCCAAAGGAATATTACTGATATATATATATGTTGTACAGAATCCCCACAGCATTTATCTCATAACTAGATAAAATTTTCTGTATTAGGTAAATTGGTTTCTTTAAGAAATAAAAATAAATCATTAATTAACAGACTGAAGTATATATGCCGAATTAATGCCTGTCATTCTGTCTACCTACCTATCTGCAATTCTTTAATTTAATAATACTTATATAATGCTTATTATGTGTAGAATGCTGGTCTATGCCTTTTACAATTCTTAGTTTACTTAATTATCTTAATATTTCAATAACTGTGAGGTTAAAACTTACTATTGTTTCCATTTTATAAATGAGGAAACTAAGGTATACAAAGATTAGGTAACTTGCCTAAGGTAACATAGGTAGAAAGTGGTCAAACTGAGTTTTGAAACCGGACTGACTGGTTCCAGAGCTCATGTTCTTACCACCACACTTTGTTGCCTCCATGCGTCTTTGGTAAGTTGTCTCACTGGTTGGCTAGTTTCCAAAGTGTATTCTAGGAACTCCTGTGGAGTGGATCCTAAGATGTTTTCAAGGAATTCATGCAGTCGAAACTTTTTCATGATAAGTCTATTCCAACTCACGGAGCACAGTTCTTCTACTCTGACACCCATTTGTGTCAGAATAAAATTGTGCTCCAGAGGGTTTTCAGTGGCTGATTTTTGGTAAGTAGATTGCCGGGCCTTTCTTTCAAGGCATCTCTCATTGGACTTGAACCTCCAGCCTTTTGGTTAGCAGCCAAGCATGTTAACCATTTGTACCACCCTGTAATAAGACTAAGATGTTATTTGCTTTTTTGATCGTGTCTCTCATGAGTATTCAGTGGAGTTTTCCAGAGGCTACATGACATGTACCATCACAATAGATTGAATACAGAAGCAAATATGAGAATCTTTCTATACTCTATAAGACAACATTAAAGGGATTACAAAAATATAAAACAATACTCTCTTCCCGTTGAAATCTTTCAAGTTCTTTGGGGTCCTTAGCAACTTCTAAGAGTGAGAAAGGGGTTCTAAGACCAGATAGTTTGAGAATCACTGTGCTAGCTGAGTAAACTTAGTCATATACTGTTTTTAAAGGATATTTTAAAATAATTCATGTTAGTATGCTTAAGTGCACAGTATTTTTTCTTTTTATTTTAGATTTGTTTTCTGCTCTAGACACTCATTCTAGTTTGGGTGTTATTTCTTATGGTGTTTCCATGACGACTTTGGAAGATGTATTCTTAAAGCTAGAAGTTGAAGCAGAAATTGACCAAGCAGGTAAAAAACAAAAGTAACCAACCATTTTAGGAAATGAGCCAGATAGATGGTGATCTTTTTAGGAAATGAACCAGACAAATAATTACCATAAATGTGTGACATTTATATTATTTTGGGGAGGGAAGGGCAGAAATAAATAGGTAAATAAACAAGTAATTGAGATATTTGCTGATAGTCATAAGAGTTATGAAGGAAATAATGGGAGTGATCTTGGGAGGCAGCTAGTTTAAATTTATGGTCAAGGAGGACTTTGTTGACATGACATTCAAAGTGATACCTGGATGAAAAGGAAAACCAGGTAGACAAAGATTTCAGAACACAACTTTCTAGTTAAAGGGAAGGTAATGCAAATGTCTTAATTGAAAAATGAGTTGGTCATCTTTGAGGGACAGAAAAAAGTTCACCGTGACCAGAGCTTAGAGAGCCAAGGTGAGGGTAGTACTCAGTGAAGTCAGATGGGTAGGCAACAGGGCAGATTATGTTAGGCCTTAAAAATCTAGAAAAGAATTTGGTTTGTTTTCTTAGTGCAATGTGAACCTATCAGAGTCTGATTTACCTTTTAAAAATGCCTTTTTGTTGTTGAATGATGAATGGATTGTAAGGAAGAGCGGAGCCAAAAGGGGTATCTAAAAAGTAGCAACCGTTGCTCTTTTTTCTTCCCCAAAAGAATGGAGGTGCAAAAGCCAAGACAAAATGGTATTTCAGGAAAAAGGAAGAGGTCAGTTATTTGTTCATTGCTTTGAAGAATAAAGATGAGGACAGAAAAGATGGCTTTGATAACAAAAAGGACAGTGAAGGATTTGGTAATGTAGAAGACAGTGGTGCCTGACAAGAGCAATTTCAGTGGCATGGTGAGGATCAGAGGTCGATCTCTGAAGTTTGAGGTGAGATGTGAGTTGAGAAAGTGTTTCCTGCAATTGAAGGTTAATCAGATGGCTGGACCAATAAACAACATCATGATAAATGGAGAAAATATTGAAGTTGTCAAGGATTTCATTTTACTTGGATCCACAGTCAACACCCATGGAAGCAGCAGTCAAGAAATCAAACGACACAGTGCACTGGGCAAATCTGCTGCAAAAGACCTCTTTAAAATGTTAAAAAACAAAGATGTCACTTTAAGGACTAAGGCGTGCCAGACCCAAGCCATGGTGTTTTCAGTAGCCTCATATGCATGTGAAAGCTGGACACTGAATAAGGAAGACCAAAGAAAAATTGATGCCTTTGAATTATGGTGTTGGTGAAGAATATTGAATATACCATGGACTGTCAAAAGAATGAACAAATCTGTCTCCGAGGAAGTACAACCAGAATGCTTCTTAGAAACAAGGATGGCAAGACTTCATTTCACATACTTAGGACATGTTATCAGGAAGAATCAGTCCCTGGAGTAGGACATCATGCTTGGTAAAGTAGAGGGTCAGCGAAAAAGAGGAAGATCCTCAATGAGATAGATTGACACAGTGGCTGCAACAGTGGGCTCAAGCATAACAATTGTGAGGATGGCACAGGACCGGGAGGTGTTTTGTTCTGTTGTACATAGGGTTGCTATGAGTCAGAACTGACTCAACAGCACCTAACCACAACAACAGATGGCTGAAAGTGAAGGAAACTGGGATGGTAGAGAGTTTGTAGTTGTTAAAAGAGTCAAGGTGCTTTAAATACATATTTTGCATGAATGTTGAGTGGCTAATATAAAAATAACAGATCGTGATTTCTATTCCCGTCAGTTAGTTTTGCCTGTTTTTGGACTAATGGAATCACACCATATGTGTCTTTTGTGTCTGGCTTCTTTTATTCAGTATTATGTTTGTAAGACTGAACTATGTGGTTATGTGTAGTTGTACAGTAGTTTGTTCACTTTCATTGTTCTATACTAGTCCATCATGCACTCTTTCACAACTTATTTATTCATTTACCTGTTGATAGTTTGTTCGCTTTCATTGTTCTATACTAGTCCATTGTGGCACTATTTCACAACTTATTTATTCATTTACCTGTTGATAGTTTGTTCACTTTCATTGTTTCATACTAGTTCTTCGTGGCACTTTTTACAACTTACTAATTTATTTACATGTTGATAGCAATTGGGTTCTTTTCACTTTATGACTATTCGGCATGGGGCTGCTAACTGAGAACATTCTTGCACATGTGGTTTGATGAACCTGTGTACATATTTCTGTGAGGTTTATACCTAGTAGGGAATTTCCTAGGTCATAAGATATGCATATGTTCAGCTTTAGTAGAAACGGTAAAAGTGTATGAGAATTCCATTTGCTTCACATCACCACCAGAGGAGGGCTTCTTTAAAATTTATATGCTTCAGAAAGGTTTTTATCTTTCTAAGGAATATGCCACGATTTTCTGTCTTTTCTTTGTGTTTTGGCAAATAGATTACAGTGTGTTTACTCAGCAGCCACCAGAGGAAGAAATGGATTCAAAATCTTTTGATGAAATGGAGCAGAGCTTACTTATTCTTTCTGAAACCCAGGCTTCTGTAGTGAGCACCATGAGCCTGTGGAAACAGCAGGTGTCTACAATAGCAAAGTGTCATTTCCTTACCTTGAAACGTGAAAGTAAATCAGTGAGATCAGTGTAAGTATACTCACTTTTTTACTGGATGAGTTTTTTTTGTTTTTTTACCATCTTGACTTTTTAAATGCAGACATATGTAAATAATCTATGTAGTTTTGAAAGATGAAAGCTATAATTTGAAAATATCAAAGAAAAATAATTATGCTGTTAGTAATTTCATCGAGTACCCTTAGAACTTTACTCTTTTGTTAGCATTTATTATCACTTCTATAAAACGGGGGAGTGACAAATAATATTCTGTAATTGTAACTCAAAACAGGAAGTTGTTATATCTTAAATTTTATTTTGCATTTATATTTTTGTAAACAGCAGGTGAAGAAACTGAAATGTGAAGAAGGCCTTAAAGCTGGTAGAACTAGGATCATAACAATGTCTTCTCAACTTAGCTTTAGCCTCTCTCAGATTCCCATGGGGTACTAGGTGTAAGTGAGAATGATTTGGAGTAACATGTATTAACTCCTTTCATACTCTACACACTTGTCTTGTTAGAGCCACAGTGGCAGTAGAAATAAAACAATAATTAGAAATAAGAGTACCATTACATATTTGAAATATGCTGAATTCATTTGCTTTTTTGACCAAGTTTATTCATTATCTTGATTGATCTGTCGATTATCTAATTTATTCCTGTGGCAGCATTACTGAAAGAAAAATGTTTACTTAAGTCAGCTTGTTGAGCAGTACTCTCATAAAATGCTCCCTAAAAACAGTAAGGGCATTCTGTGATAAAAAGCATTGAGGAAATACTACATTTTATATTCCCTCTCTTGAAGAGTTGTTTATTAACACAGAAAAACACAGGAGAGGTTCTATGGTAAAGAAATTAGTTCAACTTTGTCTAACCTGGAATTTCTCAATCTTATTGAATTATCAGATATTTTTTATGTAACACCCGTTAACTTATTATAGAACTAGAGCTCAGTGTAGCATACTTTTGAAAATGCTGATTTTATCTATACATACAAACAATTTAAGAATGATTTTTTTAAAAGTATGTGCTATCTGAATATTATAAAATGCTAAATGAAGTGTGATAATCTAAGTGCTCTACCTACTTGTTGTGACACTTATCCCATATAATGTAGGGATATTTTGCAGGATAAGTAGCTGTCTTCCAGATAAAAGGGCATTTTGAATGGGTAATAGAATTATTTACCCAACCAGCTGAAAATGGTGATCCTTATAACTCAGTGTAGTATATCTTAGCTTTGCTTGCTTCTGAGAGGAGCAACGGAAGTTAATGTAATTAAACTGTGAGTAGAATAAAACTTCAAAGATACCAGTCATTCAATATTTCACTGTATTTTTATCTTCTTCCTTGTATCTAAAATATTTTTGTTAACATACGGAGAGTAAATGGTTAAAATAGAGACAAGGGAAGAAACAGTTCTTACAGGAGAATAGAAATAAAAAAGTGATCAAATAAAATAAAAAAGAATAGAAATAAAAAATGTTTGGTTCTTTCAGTTATAACCACATATTTGCATACCCTATAAAAATGTCAGGATGACTCTCATCTGAAATATACTCCTATAACTTTTAATTTTGTCATTGAATATTGGCTTTCTGTCCAAAATCGACATGAGATCATTTTTGGCAGTAGAAATTCTACTTAAAAAAATTTTTTTTTCCCTTAGTTTTATTTTCAGTGATTACCTTTTAATTGTCCTGTGAAGGAAGATTTATATTAGATTTATGTATATTGACTAGGTTAATTTTTTTTTTTTTTCAGGTTGCTTCTGCTTTTAATTTTTTTTGCAGTTCAGATTTTTATGTTTTTGGTACATCACTCTTTTAAAAATGCAGTGGTTCCCATCAAACTTGTTCCAGACTTATATTTCCTAAAACCTGGAGATAAACCACATAAATACAAAACAAATCTGCTTCTTCAAAATTCTGCTGGTAAGAGTGTGTGAAGGTCTGTGAATGTGTGTTGGTTAGGGCATGGGGGGAGGGGAGGAAATAGGCTAGAGGATTGGATCTTAACCATATTTGAGGTAAAGGCCTGGTTTGTCTACATGAAATCTAAATTAAATGAAACATTTACTTTATTGATGCTGAATAATATAACAGAACTGAAATGTTGGTTTAAGTGCAAATGAGAAGTTTTTTAACTATCCTGATTTATACTGCTTATCATCATAAAATTCCCCTTTTTAATGGTAGCAAAAATTATTTTTTAAGCAGAGTGTTGTTTTATCTCAAAGTTCATGTTGAGTAAAATAAACTTCAGAAGCTAAAAAACTCTTCAGAATGAGTTACAGCATGTAATTTTTATGCAGCTATATATGCTAACTAGAAATGTTGAAACAGTCCTTCAAGGATTATATGAAGAGTCAGAATTAAGAAAAATAATCCTTGTATCTATGATTAAATACATTAAATTTGTAATGGATATATTTGAATTTGCTATTGGTTATTCTTACTACATAATTGTCAAATATTAAAAAAAGTTTTTTTAAAAAAAACATGGCCTTGAGTAAGGCTCAGAACAAATTTTAACAAAATCAATGTTAGCTAACTCTGGCAAATTTACAGCAAAACATAAGCAGCTTTGTTTTCTATCTTGCTGAAATACATTGGAAAGTTACATTTCACATATCTTTCTGTACTCACAAACTCTTCGGGGTTTACCATTTCCTAACACTTTATCTATTGTTTGAAAACCCTGGTGGCGTAGTAGGTAAGTGCTATGGCTGCTAACTGAAAGGTCGGCACTTCGAATCTACCAGGCGCTCCTTGGAAACTCTACGAGGCAGTTCTTCTCGGTCCTATAGGGTCACTATGAGTTGGAATCAACTCCATGGCAACGAGTTTGGTTTTTGTTTTTCATCTATTGTTTAGTATCTTTCCTTTTTGATTTACTCTTAAGAGCTTTGCCCAGTGTTAAAATAATAATCATGGATGATTCACATTTTGGGGGGAAGAATTCATTTAGTGATAAAAAATTGCTCTTGAATAAAAAATGTTGTTTTGAAGTTTTTTCTTTGGTTAGAATTCTTGTTTTTGGTTTTAATCTACATTTTATATTGCTAAAACATAGTAGTGCATGGACCCTTATATTCATTGTGACATTTTTATGTATGCTTGGGAAATTATACATATATCTCAACTGTCTGTGCTCTGAGTTCCCTCTCACTGATCTGCAGAAATTTTAGTATATTCAGAGTTTTATCTCTTCCATTATTTTTTAGTATTTCTAGAGTTGCGTACATATGTATCTCATGTTTCCCTAAGCCCTGTTGCTGGTTTCAATAAAGCCACTTTTCCTTTAGGAATCATAGTGTGTACATATATTACATTAAGTACATTATAAGCATGTATTGAATGGTAGCTTATCCTCTCTCCAGTTCCTTCAGTTGTAAATAGCTCTCTTAGAGTACATAGTCACTCTGGGAAGCAAGAGATAGAGATCACTTAAGGCATTAGGTTGAGAGTAGTTAAACATAGCATCAGTCTATACCTAATAGCACCACTCTCTACAACACTCAGTTTGACCCACCATGCCACACCATTTAGTTACTGATTGTTGCCTGCTGTCAAGTCAATTCCAACTCATAGAGACCCAATAGGACAGAGTAGAGCTGCCCCATAGTTTCCAAGGCTGTAATCTTTACGAAAGCAGACTGCCACATCTTTCTTCTGCAGAATGGCTGGTGGGTTTGAACTGCCAAACTTTTGGTTAGCAGCTGAGTGCTTTAATCACAGCGCCACCAGGTCTTCTTAGTTACCGATGGTGTTTTCCCTAATTTGGTTTTCATTTTTCTCAATGTCACATTTGTACTTCCTTGAATCCTGGCTTTTATGATAATGAAGAAGAAACTGCTCCATTCATCAGACATGTTGGTATGGGTTTAAACCCCAGACAGGATTCAAAATTTTTCTCTTGGCTCCAGGAAATTTAGAGAGTGTAGATGGAGACCTGATGATGTATTTGAATATTTTAAGATAGGTAAGGCAGTTGACATTTATAAAACTTGTCTGTCCAGAACATACAGACATCTTCTAGGGAGTGGTGTTACCTAACTCCACACCTTGGACTATCCCTTTCTGAGCCCAGCAAGTTACCTTGTTACGTAAAATTGCCAGACAGATTTTTATTCTCAGTAATCAGATTTTTTGTGAGTATTATAGTAACCTTTAAGTGTTAGTAATAGTAGTAGCAGCAGCAGCAACTAAAATTCGCACAGGTTCTGTTCTAAGACCGGTGTAGATATTCAGTCATTTAATCCTCATGGTCACTCTTTGTCCCCAGTTTACGAAAGAGGAAACTAAGGTCCAGAGTATCTAAGTAACTTGCTTGAAGGACAGATAGTATGAGTGGTACAACTGGAATTTGAATTCAGGCTGGCTGGCTCTAGAGCCAGTGATCCTACTCACTTCTTATTTAATGAAGATAAAATATTTTTCTAAAAAGAGTGATCTTTCCACTATATGTCTGTTTCTTATTTAAATAGCCTATGCCTGTTTCTTATTTATACTAATTCTTTATTATTTGCTTATTTTCTAATACCAGGCTCAGATATTAGTGATCTTATTAGCTTTTTCGCAAACCAGAACATAATGGTGACAATGTTTAATGACAGTGACTACGTATCTGCTGCTCCCCATAGTGCAGCTTTAAATGTGGTGCATTCAGAAAAGGTAAGAGTAATTTATGTGAGAGTTATGAAAGATTAGAACAGTTCCTCTAAAATTAATCATTTGCTGATTTGACCTCATTAGTTAGAAATGAGGATTTACTTTTGTAAATAGGTGTATATATTTATGATATATATTATGTCCCAATGAATGACCAGTATGTAAAGCTGTAAGAATTCAATTTTATTTTTATATTTTTTTGTCTAAAATATCAAAATCTCTGAGCATTTCAAACCAGATTGTCATTATCTATCATTAGTATTGTTTGTATGATTTGTTATAACAGCTTTCATTACAGTTGGGGAGAATTAGCTCAGTGAGAAAGCTTGGTACATAGCATATCCACTTATTTTTATTTTTATGCAGTATATAATAAATGTTTTTTTTTTCCTTATCATAGGACTATATATTTTCAGCTGCCGTCAACAGTACTATGGTTTATTCTTTACCTGTGTTGATGAATATCATTAGTAACTACTATCTTTATCATTTAAATGTGACTGAAAGCATCCAGATCTGGAGTACCCCATTCTTTCAAGTAAGCAGACTAAAAAATATATGTTGTATCATACATATATACTTTGTGTATGTGTATACATATACATATGCACAGTATATTTAATATATATTAAAAGCCAATTGATAATAACAAATGAAATCTGTAAAAGTTTATCTTGTGATATCGCCTAGTCTTCTCAAAACTTGAGTAGAAGATGCAAAAATCCTCACCAAAATACTAGCAAACTGAATCCAAAAGCATATTAAAAGAATTGTACACCATGGTCAAGTGGGATTTATTCCAGGGATGGGAGGGAAAGGGTGCTTTAACATTAGGAAATCAATCATTGTAATACACCACATTAATAGAACAAAGGAAAAGAACCACATAATCATCTCAATGGATGCAGAAAAGGCATTTGACAAAATCCCACACCTTTCATGATAAAAACATTCACGAAACTAGGAATAGAAGGGAAATTCCTCAATATGATAAAAGTCTTTTTTTGAAAAACTCACAGCTAGCATCATACTCAATGAAGAAAAGCTGAGAGTTTTCCCCTTAAGATCAGGAACAAGACAAGGATTCTCATTCTTACCACGGCTATTAAATATTGTACTGGAAGTCCTAGCCAGAGCAGTTAGGCAAGGAAAAGAAAGAAAAAGTATCTAAACTGGGAAGGTGTGATGGTTGAGATTGTGTGTCAACTTGGCTGGGCCGTGATTCTCCATGTTTTAATGTAATCACTCCCGTGATTGAATATACTGTGAGTAG